AGATCGTTTATATCATTAAAATAGTTAGCTAAACAATCTTATATTTATTTAACGGATTTGCTATTTTACAGTCGAGTGTTTTCCAATTCGTCGTCATTCAAATCTATGTTCGTCCATTTTCGTGCGGAGATTCGCACTAGGTTCTGTTTTGTTCGGCTTGGTTTTATTGTCGGGCACGGTTTTGTGTCTCAGCCCGTTACCATCGCCCCGGCCCGACACTTTTGATTTTTTTTGTCCTTTTTGTATTTGGGAGTGGGTGTCGTTTCCTCTTTCATTTGGTGGCTCTATTTAGATAATGCCGAGGGGTGAGAGAGAGAGTTCGAGAGGCGGAGCAGATGAGGCAATTCCTTCTGGTTCATGTCGATTCTGAGATATTCCACCGCTTGATCTTGATTTCGCTTCCCTTTCACTTTGATCCTTCGCTGCCACGGTCGGTTGTTCTTGTCTCTCGCCCTCCCCGGTATGATTTTGCTTGTGTTGTGGCTGTGTAGCTTCAAAATCTAGGCTGAGTTTCTTGTTTGGATCCGTGGCAGGTGCATGTTGAGGCCATGTTGTAGTCCGCCATTTTGCTCCCCTTCTACTTGCCTCAGATGGGTGATTTGTTTTGTAAGTCATCGGGTGTTCTAGGTCATCTGGTCGTTGTGGTCGTTTTCACCCCTGCTGATTTGTTTCCTCTGCTGTAGATGTAGAGGTACGCGAAGTTGTAGTTGTAGTGGTGGATTCCCCTATCGATTTTATTTCTCCAGGCCTGGGTGTCTATTCTGCCTGCATTTTTATCGGTAGATGTAGTTGTAGATGGCTTGGCCTGGGACTCTGCTGGCTTATGCAATGTGGATGTAGTAGCTAATTTTTGTATCCTTCCTCTGAATTTGTTTGCCCTTCCTAGTTTGATTTTTGCCCGGCCTTTTGTGATGTAGATGTAGGTGCTATTTGTTCAAGTTTCCTGCTCTATTATGGTTTCTGAATTGTTGGCTCCTTATGTGTCTTACCTGCACATGTTTGCTCTTGTAGTTTCTGAATCCCTCACGACTTTTTCTTGTTAGATGTAGGTGTTCAGTTTCCCTGGTTCCTGAATCTCAATGAATTTGTATGTACTAGGCCTGCAGTGCTGATGTAGTGTTAGTCTATGGATTTTTCTTATTTTTGTCAGTGCAATATACCTCAGAATTAAAGTGTAATGTATCCCATAATTGGAGTGTGATCCCCATGCTTCTTTATTGTAGTTACAATGTAATGTACCCTAAAATTATAGTGTATTCTAGCCCAGATGGCACTGTATATGCCTAAAATTGCATTTTAGTTTACTAACCCTAGATTTACAGTGTAATATACCCTAGATTTTCACTGTATTTTGTATGCTTCAGGACTGTAATTGTTGCATGGTTACACTGTATTGTTTCCCAGTTTTACACTGTAATGCGCATGGTACAGCACTGTAATTGTTGTAGGGCTTTCAGTTTTTTTCAGATAGACTACTTTCAAATGCTTCATCACCGTAATATACCCTAGATTTTCTCTGTAATTTATATGCTTCAGAACTGTAATTGTTATATGCTTCAGATAGATTACATTGGCTTCTTCATCTGGGCTTACACTGTAGTATACCATAGTTTTACACTATAATTTGTATGGTTCGACATTGTATTTGTTGTAGGTATTTGAGAGGTAGATTACAGTGGATTTTACCTTTGAATTGGAGGGCTTACACTGTAATTTACTGCAGATTTACACTGTTATTTGAATGCTTCAACACTGTAATTGTTGTACGACCTACAACGTATTTGTCAGATACTCCCTCCGTCCCAAAATTCTTGTCTTATACATGTGTAGATACGTATCTATCTAACACTAAAACGTAACTAGATACATCCGTATTTAGACAAATCTAAAACAAGAATTTTGGGACCGAGGGAGTAGATCACAGTTGATTTACCTCTGATTTTGCAGTGCAATTAGCATGCTTTTAGGACTGCAATTCATGTATTTTCTTGCTTTTTATTTTCTTCTTTTCTTGTGCTAGTGTGTCTCCATTGCAGTAGTATTGAGCAGAGGTCCTGTTTTAGGTTGATGATTGTTTTTGTGTTCTTTCCAGATTTCTCTAGTAAATAGCGTTGCATTAGCTGTTCATGTGTATTCTTTAATGAACTGTATGGAGATTTGTTCTACTATTTTACTTCCTTTTGTTTTCCTCCTTCATGTATTCTGTTTATATGTTTTAGTTTAATTAGTAGGCTACAGCAAGTCTCTCATCCGGACGTTTGCTTAGTATCATCTCTTGACAATGCAGATTATGCGGGTGAACCTATTGTGCCTAATAACCTTGCGGAAGATGGTTCCTATCGTATGTCTACGGTAGTTATTTCTTTCTTCTTATCTAGCTTTATTTTATTGTTCTTAGTTATTGAGATTGTTTTATTTAATTTTAGTCTGTCGACTTTTTAATATATTTTTGCAGGAAATATCTGGTGATGGAGGGTTTGACAAATCTCTTTTGAAGTTCTATTTGAATGAAGTGTTTTTTCCATTTCTTGTATTATTTTGATTTCGTTTTGTGTATTTTCCTTGGGTGGCCCTTGTGTTTTTGTCATTTCAGAAAGTAAAATGCTTGAAAGGAAATTATCATCTGCTTCCATGTTCATAGGTCCATCTCCTGAATGTACCTGCAAGCAAAAGGGCAATTTGTTTCCTATAGTTGTGCTTTTCTCAGATTGGTAGCTCTGTGGTATTCGAATTTTGCTTTTATCATGAATATAATATTGGAATGTAGAAGCGCAGTGATAGAAAATGTGTCCTGCGACATATTTGTTGTGAGTTTTTATTATTATTATGTATTTAGAATGTTCCTATAGTGTCTTTCAACATATTCTGAAACAAATGTGTAACTCACATTTAGAATGAGTTCTTCCTGTGAAAATCTCAATAGATCATCTTCAGTTGCTGTCTTTATCATGCTCCTCATCTAGCATATTTGAAAAAAATGCCAGTATCAACATAATATTGGGCAACAAACCGTTTAGATATAGATGAATTTTGCTGGGTACTTAAACGGTTGTACTTTATGTATTTTTTCTTCCAATAGTTGGGGTATTCCAAGTGTATCCTCAGAACTAACACTGTAAATTATAGTGAAGTAGCTCTGAATTTTTATTGTAATTTATTGGGATTTTACCGCATAGCTTCATCAATGCAAATCCCTGCATAATTTCATTCTAATTCCCTGTGTATTTTTTCTGTATTCTTCGAGGGTATTGCACTGTAAGCACTTTCACCGTAAAGCTTGGGTATTACAGTGTAAGCCATGGGTACTTGCTGTGTAATTACATTGTATGTATAATGTATTTTATAAAGGTTTTACAATGTAATTCTTGGTCACTTGCACTGTAATTACAAGCTTTGGATCCTTGGGTTTCCCACTGTATTTCCTGCTCACTTACACTGTAATTTAGTGTAATCTCATCAGTTTTTACAAGTGTAATTCTTTGTGTGCTTGCAGTGTAATTACTGTGTATGTACTATGTAATTTATAGGGGGATTTACACTGTAAATCTTGGTCACTTTCAGGGTAACTCTTGGGTATTTTCAGTGTCATCCGTTTTTACTTGCATTGTCATTAGTTTCTGCTACTGAATGTTTCTGAAAATTACCCTAGATTTTAAATTGGAACCACCTCAATATTTTAGAGTAATTTCCTGCTACATGTAGCATGTGAAGGTTATGTAATTTCCTAGATTTACAGCAGCTGTTGATATGTCTTGTATTTACACTGTTTTTACCCGCTTACATGTAAACCACGTCAAAATTTTAGTGTAATTTCCATGTTCATGTAATTTTAATTGCTACATGTAGCTTGCAAAGTTCATGTAATTTCCCAGATTTACATTTTGCTATTGATCTGTCTCTTTTGTAGACGAAGAAAGATCCTCCTAATTTGTTCATGCAAGAGGTGAAGAGAGCGAACAATTGCAGTAGGAGTATTTTTTTAAAATGAATTGGAATAGGAGTGTTGCTGACCTATGGATCGTCCTATTTCAATTGGAGTAGGAGAGCTGCGTCCAGGCGAACTGGGTCAGAGATTAGCCCGAACCGTTTTCTTTCAAATACAAAACATACAGTTGTAGGGGTGGAAGGTTTTGGACATACAGGTGTTAGCTGTTTATTTGTCCTGAAATTTGAATGTTCTCGAATTAAAAAACAATCAAGTGCGACAGTCCCTTCTTTAAAGACGGAGTACTCAACAAAAGTCATATTTGCCTAGTAGCCGTTCAACTGCACTCAACACAACAAGATACTGGCCCAAGTTCTAGATCGCAGTAGTGATTGTACATTCTCCCGTCCTTTTTAGTCCACGTATTAGATTTGTGTCAAGTCAAACTTTCCAAAGTTTGACCAAAGTTGTATTAAAAAATATCAGCATCTACAATACCAAATATATATACTATGAAACTACATTTCATAATGAATCTAACAATACTCATTTGCATTGTGAATGTTGATATTTTTTCTAGAAGTTTCATCAAAGTAGCGATACTTTGACTTTGAGCAAAACTAATATACGGACTAGAAAGGACCGAGGGGAGTACCAATAAGCAAAGACGATCATTCATGGATATGCCGTATAATGCTATTCAGATGTGCTTTATTAACCTTATTACTTGAAGAAAAACAAACACCGGGCAAAGAGTTGTTGCTCGATTGCAAAACAAAAGTAGTACCCCTCCGTCTAGAAATATGTGTCGCTTAGACATGTGTATCTAATAGTGAAATACATCTAGATACATCCGTTCAAGTGACAAGTATTTTTGGGCAGAGGTAGTACTCAACAAAGGTCAAATTTGCCTAGTACCCATTCAAGTCCACGCAACAAACAACATGGCACTGGCCAAAGTTCCAGAATCCAGTGTTCATCATGGTACCAATAAGCAAGGAAGATCATTCTTGGATATGCTGTATAATGCTATTCGGATATGCTTTATTAGCCTTATTACATTGAGCATAATTAGCTAGTAATTTTTATTTTGGTCACCACCAGTTGCGCGCAGCACCGTCGTCTCGGCAGTGAAACCGGGACCAAATCCCACCATCACCCCCCACCCATGCGCCCCCGCTGCGTCCTTCTCCATTAGCCGTCGCTGCTCGTCCAGCACGAATATCACCGTCGCTCCCAGCATGTTCCCATGCTCTCTCATAACCGTTCGGCTTGCCGCGAGCTTCTTGGGCTCCAACTGGAGAGCTACCTCGATGTGGTCCAAGACACCACGGCTACCGGGGTGCACTACCCAGAAGAGGTCATTCCATTTGACGTGGATACCAAGTGGCTCCAATGCATCCAGCAAACACCGTTCAATGTTGTCCCCCGTGAGGCGTGGCAGCTCGGTGGAAATGTTGCCGCAAATGCCGCTGTTCCCGAGCCGCATGTTGAGCAAGTGCTCGCTCTCCGGTATCACGGCCTGCGACACGGACACCATCTCAAACAGCGGGTGCTCGACGGAGCGCACGGTGTCGGCGCCGACGATGACGGCGCCTGCTCCATCACTGAACAGTCCCTGGCTGATTAGGGTGTCGAAGCAGTCCTCTTTGTCGGGGCCACGGAAGGAGGTAATGGTGAGCTCGACGCAGGCAACAAGAACGCGCGCGCCGCGGTTGTTCTCGGCCAGGTCCTTGGCTAGGCGCAAGGCGGCGCAGCCGCCGGAGCAGCCGTTAAGGTGGAGCATCGTGCGGCAGACACTGGAGCGGAGGCCGAGGAGGGAAGCCAAGCGGAAGTCGACGCTCGGGGCATGGGCCGCTGAGTTTGTGCTGACGACGAGGTGGGTGATGTCGGTGGCCGGACGACCCCACTCGGCGATGGCCTTCACTGCTGCTGATGCCGCGAGCTCTGGAGCGGCCGTGGTGGCGATCTCAAGCCGCACATCAATGGATGGGGATGCATGGTGGAGAAGTTCGGGGTGGACGTTGAGCAGTTTCTCCGTGTGGTAGAAGAACCGCTTTCCCATGCCTGTTATTTCACCTGATCGGGAGGAAGCGCAGTAAATTAGCCTAGACAGAAACTCCACATCAATTATTTGGATCGCACGATTGGCGTTCGTGCTTACACAGCTTTTTGAAGGTGTCTTTGAGGTCGGTGAGGTGCTCGCTCTTGGTGACACGGAAGTAGTAGTCGGGGTAGTCTTCTTGGGAAACACAGTTCAACGGGTTTGCCCTGCCGATGGCGAGCACCATGGCCGGGCCCTCCGCACGCCGCTCCCGCCGGATCTCGTGGACACTGCATGCTCTGCTTGTCATTGTCTCAGAGTCGGAGCTATTGCCTGCTCAATTGCAATGCGAGAGAACCAGAAAGGAGGCTCAAGTTATATACACGTCAACTAGTACTGGGTACTGGCAGCAATAACTTTCTGAGACAGCGTGGTTTGCATCAAAATGTCGAATTTAGAGCGTGTACAATGCCACTACCGAAAAATTGTTGTTTGCCGAATGTCGAATGCCCTGGATAAACTACTCGGCAATGCATAGGATTTACCGAGTGGTTTTATAGGACACTCGTCAAACAATTTTAAAAATAAATAAAACACAAATGTTCGTTTGAATTTTTAAAAGCAAACTTTTGAATTTTGAGTTTATTTTCGTGACCAAGGAGCACTAGTATCAACCGAGAAAATATTTGCATTTTCAATTTTGAGTTTATTTTTCTGACCTTTAACAATTGTACATGCAATTGGAAGTACCAAAGATTTAGTGCTGATATTTTTACGTGTTTCACTCGGTTCACTAGTGATTGATACGAACGAAATCCTGGCCACCTCGGTCTCTGTCCTCGTCCCTCGCTCCCCTTGCTGCCACCCGAGGAAATGAAGCTTCCAATGATATTTCTCTCCTGTAGCAGGGTGGCGGTCTTGGATGGCACGACTCATGCAGGACAATGAGGTTGCAGAAGGGGCAGCCCTCGTGCAAATCAGAACAGTTGGTGGCGGCACTCCTCACCGACTTAGGTTGGGAAGCCGGTGTTGGCGAAGGTAGTTATGAGAGATAAGGCTAAGAGATGGCACATTATACTCATTATTTTATTGCCATTTCTAGATGACCTGGAAATCTTTAACCATTCTACATGCACATGGAAGTACCAAAGATTTAGTGCTATTATTTTAACGTGCTTCGCTCCGTTCGCTGATGGTTGGATATGAAAGTAACCCTATCCGCGTCGGTCCCTTTCCTTCTCCCTCAATCCCCTCGCTGCCACCCGAGGACATGGTGTGATGTCAGGGATATTTTACTTCCACAGCGGGGTGGCGTCATTGGATGGCACAACTCATGCTGGACATAGATGGTTGTGCAAGAGGCAACCCTTGCGCTAATCAAATATGGTGGTGGAGGCACTACTTACCGTCGTAGGTCGGGAACGGTGTTGCCCAAGGTAGTTTTTGGGCTGACGATTGAGGTAGTTGGGCTCTCTCACCAGGCAGCCGACCCACACATCTATGGATGAGGTGGTTGCTTTGGTGGATTCATTGTTCATGGCCCTTCCGTCTGTCGGTGACAAGGAATGGAGATGGTGCGGCAATGTGCCGGATGCGGGAAGGCCACCTCCTCAACTTGCTTCTATCAGCTTCTTGGTTGCATGGTCGGGCCCTGGGATTTCTCAGAGCCAAGTCAGGCCGATGAGAAGGTGTGAACAGTGACAGTTTTGACGAGAAGTATGCAAAATCTCCGTGTCAAAAGCAAAGATCTCATTTGCTGCTAGATCAGATACTGTCGATGCGCGTACATCATGCCCTTGTTGAAGATGTTGGCTTGAAGCTCTCCTTTGGCGATGAAAATCTGAAGTTCGACACCAAGTTGAACCCAGGAACATTGGCACACGTTTGTTGATTCCTTCTTAATTCTTTATCTTGTGGATTAGGTTCATGGTCACATACTCCATGGTAGGGTTGTGGAGATCCTGCTGCAAGGGAGGTCCGATTTGAATGGTCTTGTGAAGTTGTGATTTGCTTGAACTTTTTGTTTCGCAATTCTTTCAGCATCGATACTTAGATTTGCTTAGGGTTATACTATCAGCATCTCGACTCCGCACCATTAACCAAGATTTGGAATGCCATTATTAGGATTTTTCCTACTAGTGATAGTTCTCCTTCATGTACCTTGTAAGCGTCAGATCGCCAGGCGATGGACCGTGCTTCCGTCTCGTCCTTGGGCAATCCTTGGCTTATCAAGTATGCAAGGAAACATTAAGTCCACGGCGCAATGACTGCCTTGATCTCATAAGCTAAAGTGGTAACTTCCAGCTCCGAGCACCCAATATGTCGTTGTCCTGCTCTAAGGCAAGCGAGGTGACATTTCTGGTGGTTGCCCATTAGTTGGTTTTGTTGGAACCGAGGATTGCCGGACAATCATAGAAACATGAGGAGTGAATTTTGCCAAGCGACAATCACCCGCGGCGACGGACGCCGGGGCCTTTTTCTTCCTCTGTATTCACTTGGCTCAGCTTACAAGAGTACACAGACGACGGGATTTATACACGGTGCACACACAAACACACTCCAACGGCCACACATGTACGCACAGCCCAGCCACACCGCAAGTCACGCACCCAGTAACAGCAGGAGCCGCACGACCACCACTCACGGCCACGATGCAAGTCCACTTCCAGCGCATCCGTAGCATGCTCTCAACGGCCTTACGACCCGGACGTTTCAGCTAACTACATGCAGCTCCGGCCCGCGCGCTGCCTCCAACAGACCGCAACAGCCCCTGTGCATGCAGCTCCTTCACGACATGGACGCGAGAACGAACTCCCGACGGCACACACCCCCGTGCCCAGCACAGACCAGACCTGGCACGCCGACGCCGGTCACCACCGCACGGGCACGGACATGGCTTATTGCCAACACTCACCCCCTAAGCCATGACCTTGCCGCGCGGCCTGCGTCTTGAACGCCTTCGCTCGACGTCATCACGCGCCTCCGCGTCCGCTGTGATGTGCCGTGTGCCCGCCGTCGCCGGAGTTGATGCAGCTCGCGTCGTTGTCGTCGTCACGGCTGTGACCCAGCCCGCGGACCCGACTTGGCACACCGACGCCGGTCGCACCGTGCTCCGTCATATTGCACTTACTTGGATTTTCGATGCAATGTATTCATATATCAATGCGTAATCCTCAAAAAAAAAAAAAAACTAGAAGCTCTCTTTCGCATTACTGTCATAAAGGCATGTCTTTTCCAATCAACATATAGTTTTCATCTTGTAATTAAGTAAAACTAACACGAACTACCATATATTGGATACAATTATTTGAAATGGATAATGGTGTCCATGATGGCTGTCGCTTGTACTTTTTATATTTGTATACACGTGGCAACATGGTGGTTCAATATGTTCTTACGTACGCGTTAGCATGTTACATAAAAACTTTAAATCTTATCTATTAATTTTCTTATCAGCCGTTGCATATAATATTAACAAATGTGGACGAACGTGATGGCTTGTTTATCATTCATTTTAACTATATACTCTCTCCGTTCCCAAATACTTGTCTTTCTAGGCATTTCAAATGGACTCAACATACAGATGTATGTAGACATATTTTAAAGTGTAGATTCACTCATTTTGCGCCGAATGTAGTCACTTGTTGAAATCTCTAGAAAGACAAGTATTTAGGAACGGAGGGAGTAGTAGATTAGAAAAAAGTTCAAACTTTCCTAGAATGATCACCATGGTAGTGTTACTTTGACAAAAAATCCCTTATGTCTTGACACTTTCATATTATGACGTGGTGGCTAAATGGGCAGTCAACTAGTAAAAACATGTTCAAAGGACATAAAACACGGTTTGAGGAGAGTTCAAAGTTGAAACTTGACTAGTTTTGATAGTAGAGTCGTAACAAAGTAGATTGTTAGACATTTTTGACAGTTCAACATTGAAATACGGACTTCTCTTTTTAGTAATAGGCCACACCGATGGCGGCTACATCGGTATTGCAACAAAATAATTCATAGTATTGGTCACCATAAAAATTGAAGAGTACAGTATTCAGTCATGAAATATAGAAGTCAAGAGACTGGAATCACTGTCGGTTGCCAAGCTACCAAGCTCTAAACCGATATCTTGACCACGTCATACATAAAGACGGAGAATACCATGTGGAAATTGATATAGACCTTAGATGTTAGGGTTTGCAAGAGATCTTATATTGTATATATATGTAGCTAGTAGCGTCAGATAGATATACGCAAACTTGTTGTTCGACAAATCTCTCGAAGAAAGAGAGGTTACTTCTCTCTGTATATGCTCATGACGATCTTGTGTACTTAATGGTTCCTTCATTTGCTTACTAGCTAGCATGTGGAGTTCTCTCTATATGTATAGTAGCTAGCATCGACCAAGCACGGAGATAAAGAGTGGTCACTTTTCTTTATTAGCTAGCTAACACAATATGAAACCGCTAAATTAACCCTCCAAAACCCCTAACCCCCACCTCCTATAATAAAAAACAAAAACCTCTGCTCCCGCCAGCTGCTGACGCATGGAGGCCTTTTGGTCCCGGTTGGTATCACTAACCGGGACTAAAGGTCCTCCTGCCCGGGCGTCCCGCAGCGTCCACGTGGAGCCCCTTCTGTCCCGGTTCGTAAGTGAACCGGAACTAAAGGGTTTGGGCTTTAGTCCCAACCCTTTACTCCGGTTTCAGAACCGGGGAGAAAGGGCCTTTGGAACTGGGACAAATGAGCCGTTTTCTGCTAGTGGACAACAGCTAACTAACAGAATCGCTAGCTAACTACTTCGACGTACTCACCTCATCATGGCGTCAAACACATGCTATAGTCGAACCGGTTTCCTATTAGAACCAGAAATTATACTATTCCTTTGTACTGCCACCGACCGTTCTTTTGGCTTTCGGATGACCGGTACCAGGAATTGAAAATATACTATTATGGCAATTAATTTTGATGGGCCGTGTGCTCTGCTCTCCTTATGGGGATCTGACATTTTCAAATCAGCCGGTGCATATAATATTATCAAATGTGGATGAACGTGATGGCTTGTTTGTCTGTCATTTTAACTATATAATAGATTAGAAAAAAGTTTAAACTTTCCTAGAAATGATCACCATGGTAGTGTTACTTTTACAAAAAATCCTTATTTCTGGACACTTTCGTATTATGACGTGGTGGCTAAATGGCCAGTCAACTAGTAAAAACATGTTCCAAGGACCAAGAAAATGGTTTGAGGAGAGGTCGAAGTTGAAACTTGACTGGTTTTGATAGTTTAGAGTCATAACAAAGTAGATTGTTAGACAT